TCATATTTATAAACGAAAAAAATTTAATTAAATATTGTATTTACATTTTTTAATGTTAATTCTTTATATATATATATATATATATATATATATATATATATATATATATATATATATATGTGTGTGTGTGTGTGTGTGTGTATGGATTTTTTTTTTCTTGGATAAACCATTTAAGATGTTAAAAAAACAATTTAATATGTTTTTAAAACTACAAATACGTATTTTTATGTATTTAAAAATATGCATATCAATAAAAAAAAACTTGTTCATTCAAAAACATGTTTATATAAGTATATACATATATTTTTAGAAGTGTAAATATGTATTTTGATATATGTTTTTTTTAAGTATAAATATATTTTTAGAAGTATAGATACATATTAATATATAAAAATGTAAAAATATGTATTTATACTTCTAAAAACTATATCTATAAAACACATATTCATAATTCTAAAAATATTGTTTATCTTTTTAAATGGTATAACCATGCAAAAACACAAACACACACAAAGAAACAAACAAATATATATATATATATATATATATATATATATATATATATATATATATATATATATATATATATAACATTAAAAAAAATATAAATACAATATTTAATTAAATATTTTTTCGTATATAAATACGATTTTTCTGCATAAATATGTATATTATGAAAAAAATATACTTAGGGTAAAAGTGTAATAAAAATTATAAACTTAAGGGTAAAACGCAAAAAAATGTAAACTTAATGGTTTTTTTGCGAATTTAATATAATGGTAACCTGGAAAACCTGTTATCACCGGTAAAAGGGTAAAATCGAACATTTGTTCGAAAATGTTTGGGTAAAAACGGACATAAATTTCAACTTTGGGCAAAACCGACAAAACCCTGTAAACTTGAGGGTTTTTATGACATTAACCCTATTATGAACTCATAGGCTTGAAACAGTTGACGACCAATGAGACAATAGCCCATTACCCGAAAATTTAGCCAACACAGCATTGACCGTAGTCAGCCATATCGTTAACCGTAGGAATACTTAGTCACCACCTACGGTTTTATAGGTTATTTTGGAAAAAATGCTAGTTTTTGGCTAAAATAGATAAATCATTAAGAAAAATGGATATTTTTGTAATTTCTTAAAAATCTATACTAATCTTTTTATCTTGATCTTAATTTGGACATTATTTTGTTATAAATATATATTTTTCCTAAACTTATTGACCACGCACCATCAACCACGTACTGCCTGCTGCCTTCCTCACCACCATGGATATAACCAATGTCGCCGGCGGTTCTAACGTGAACAAGAAAACGACTAAACGTAGAAGAAAGATCGATACGAAGAAGATAGAAGATATCAAGAGCCGCCAAGTCACCTTCACTAAACGCCGCACCAGACTTTTCAAGAAAGCGGCTGAGATCTGTGTCTTGACCGGAGCCCAAATCTCCATCCTGGTTACTTCCCCCTGTGGTCGGCACTTTACGTTTCGCCACCCCAACTCCGACGTCATGCTTGACAATTATCTGAATAATAACAACACCACCACTGGAGAGGATACGGGAACCACCACGAACTCTCCACCACCGCTGCCCATGAAGGAGTTCAATCAATATTACATGGAGGTTTCAAGGGAGTTGGACGCTGAGAAGAAGCGGAGGGAGACGATTCCGGTGATCGGTGGCGGATTACGATGGTACGATGAGGCTGTTGATGGGCTGGATGTGGAGGAGTTGCAACGGTATCTTTGTTCATTGGAAGAGTTGAAGAAGAAGGTTTTGACGAGAGCTGTTGAACTGATGATGATCAACAAGTCTTCTGATGCATTATTTGGTTCGAACAACGGCAATGATCAACCGCCGGTGGATATTCCTGCAAACGAAGTAGTCGACGACGGTGGTTTTAACTTCGAGTACGATGGGGGGTTTTGGAATTTTTAGTTAATTACATAGATGAAGTTCTTAATGTCGTAAATGTTCAGCGTAGATTTCTGCATTCTTACATTAGATTTTTTTTTTTTTTGAACGGCTACATTAGATACTTTACTAAAGTAAATTTTGGTTTAATAGAAATTTTATTAAATATCATTTAAGATCTTATTGGGTTTGTTTTTATCTTTTCAACTTTGTTAAAATATCTCTTTTAATTTAACATTTCATCTTCGTTCTACGAAACTTACTTTTACAACAAAAATGATTTTTAAAGACATCAAAACAAAAACTGAATAAAAATTGTGATTATCATAACAATATAAATAGTTTTGCTATGAAAAACAATTTTGCAATATACAAATAAATAAATAAATACCGCAATAGATTTTTTTCTCTAGTTATTTATTATTTTTATTAATTTGACCGTACAAAATGTAATTTTCACAACAAATAATGAAATTTACAGTTAACCTTTACAAAATAAATAGTTATTTTTTATAAAAGTTTTTAAAAGAACTGATATGTGACAATTATAATTCATAGCTATATATGTTTTTTCTTCTGTTTTAGAAAATATGGATGTTCAAAGTAAGATAAGAAATACATCAAGCCATTGTATAATCGGGCGTCTATGATTGTAGGATTGTTTTCATTAAATTTAGAATCTATAAATCGATTTGGAGTTTGAAGGATTTGTATTTCAAAGAATATGAATCTATCATGGTCAGTGATATAATTTGTAATGGAATTGAATTTCATTTTTTTTTTAAATCTTTTTTGCTTTTTAGATATGTCCAAATGCCCTTCTAGGATCAAATGAATTCACATCCAAGGATAAAGAATGATTAGAGATGGAGGAATTTACTTCTTACTACTTATTAGTTATTTCTATTAATGAAAACAGAGTACAATTTATGTTAGTTAGAATACCAAAAAAATAAATAAATAAATAAAAAATAAAAAACTAACTAACTAAGCTAAAAGCTAGCATATGTATGTGCTCGGATACAGGTGGTCTCTAAGCCAATTTATTCTCCTTCAAACCTAGTCAAACTAAGGAGTCCTCTATAACTAACTAACTAAGCTAAAACTAAGGAGTCCTCTATAACTAACTAACTAACTAAGCTAAAAGCTAGCATATGTATGTAACCGACTCTACTAGCGGTGCATCGGGTAGTGGTGGGGGTCGAACGGATTTTCATATCGACCTCTATAACTACCTTTTTGAGGAGCAAAACAAAAGAGCATGCACATTAACGCCTAGTAGCGAACTTGGAATTTATATGGGTTCAAACTTTTTAAAATTCATGAGTGCACCACAATTTAAAATTTTGGATCTTTTGGCTTGGTGGAGGGAAAAGGAAACACAATTTCCTATTCTCTCCGTCATGGCCCGTGATTTACTAACCGTCCAAGCTTCCACGGTAGCTTCGGAATCCGCTTTTTCTTTTAGTGGTAGAGTATTATCAAAGTTGAGGACGAATCTTACCCCGGTTGCGGTAGAGGTTTGCGTTTGCTTGAAGGATTACTTGGATTCTGTGGAACGTATACAACACTTGGCATCACTAGAAGGCCCACTACCACAAAATGTTGAACCGGAGATCATGGATGAAGAATATGCACAAGGCTTATCAACACCTCCGGAAGACGAAGACGATGACGATGAAGACGAAGACGAAGACGAAGATGAAGAATATGGTATTGATGAGACCCCAAGTTATTTGCGTAGCGGTTGAAGAATAATTAAATGAAGGCGACACGAAGTGGAAAACCACAAAAACTATTTATATTTGGCTAAATGTTATAACGCCACTCTATTATTATTATTATTAGTTAACTAGTTTAAAAAGTCTTTCTAATTCGACGTTTGATGTATGTTTTAACTATTTTAATGAACCTATGTTGCATTTTGTGTTATATATGAGGTCCAAAAAATGTTTATTTAAAAAAAATGCAAAATCGGATCAGATTTTGGATCGGATCGGGTCCGGATCGGATTAAACCGATTCGGATTCGGGGCTCGGAAAACCGGTCAAATCCGGTTTGAAACCGGTTCGGATTAAGGGCGAAATCGGATTCTTTGTGACATCATCAAACCGGATCGGATCGGATCGGATCGGATCTTTGTGCATCTCTACTAAGGACCAAGTCATAATTATTCAACAATTTCCCGTAATTCTGGAGTGTGTCCTCAACCCTTTCAATTCCCAAAAGGTTTCTCATCTTAATGAACTTAGTTCTGGAGCAATGCTTTTGTTAAGGGATCAACTATCTGTTCGTCTCCACCGATGTACCTTACTTCAATTTGTTTCTTCTCAATGCATTCAGGTATGAAGTGGGATTTGGTATCATTATGTTTGCTTCTTCCATGGAATACAAGGTTCTGCATGAGGGCTATTGTTGACTTGTTATCCACATATAGTATCACACTTTCATCCTTTCAATTGGTCAATTATTTCAACAAGCTTCTCAACCATAATGCTTAGCACGCAATCAGAATTGCTGACATGAATTCGATCTCACAAGAGGACAACAATATGGTGTGTTGTTTCTGAGATGATCATGTGATCAGTAAACTAGAAAAACAAAACATTGTTCCTGTTGTATTCTTTCAACCATCTAGGTCCATAGTTAGTTATCCTTTTTATGTATCTCAAAATATGTTTGATCGCCTTGAAATGACTTTACTTTGGCGACTCCATATACTTGCTAACTACTCCAACTAAGTAGCCTATGCCTGGTCTTGTGTTGATTAGGTAGTGCAAGCTACCAATGAGACTTTGGTAGTCTGTGGCATTGATTGGTACACCATCCTCGTCCTTCATTAAACAAAGTCTTGGTTCCATAGGATATTTTGAAGGTTTTTAATCACCTATTTCATTTGCTTTTAGTAGCTTCTTAGCATACACATTTTGATTAATCGTGATGCTATCTTTATCTTGTAGAACTTCTATCCCAAGGTAGTAGGATAGAGCTCCCAAGTCAATCATGTCGAAAACCTTTCACATTTGCCTCTTAAAATCAACCACCATGTCTTCAGAAACTGTGGAAGAACCTTTTTGAAGTTAACGAAGATTGTCCTTGAGATTTTGCATCCTTTCTTGTGAGTCTTGACGATAATCAAGTGGGAGAGAACACCAAACATCATAGGCAGTCGTGAGGCCTAATGTTTCAGCCATGGTGACTTCAGTTAAAGACGCCTGAATAATGAGGAAAGCCTTCTGATCTGCTTCAAGCCAAGTAAGGTATTCAAGATTCGGAGTGGAGACACCTGTTGCATCAGGCGCTTTGGTCTTAGGAGGTGCGACAGTTGTGCCATCAATGTGACCTGATAGTTTCAGATAGGCAAGCAATTTAATTAATATTATATTTTATAGTTTATATCTATAAATTAACATTTTATATTTAAATTGATAGATTAGTTACTAAAAAATATTTTCATAACTCATTATTTAATTATTAATCATTATAAAATTATAATTGTTTCTATTTTGTATTAAAAAAACAACAACCAATTTGTTAAATGTCAATTAACCTTCGTTCATTTCTTTCTTTTAATATACGACTAAGACTATATTAATAAATCTTTACAATTTGTGTGGATACCTCGATACTTTAAGACAACACAACGTGAAAGACCGAATATAATATACTATGTATTAATATATATTTTTCATTTGGTAAAATTTTAGTAAGTTTTTTTTTTAGTTTAATATTTATTTTTACATGCAAAATTTTATTTAGTTTAACCGGTAAACCAAACCGGATAAACCGTAACCAAATACCAAAACCGATTAAACCGAATCTTATTTGATTTGGTTATGATTTGTTTTAAAATATAAAAAACCAAAAATAAACAAACCAATTAAACGCAAAAATAACCTGACGGGAATATGTAGCCATGTAGGGGAAGAAGAGAATATGTAGCCATGTAGGGGAAGAAGAAGAAGTAGGAGAAGGTTAAGACTATGGACATTGTGCCCTTCCAAAAATCTAATTAACTATTTTTTTAGTAATTAAATTTAGAAATACAATAAATTGGTAATTATTTTTTCATGACCTTATTACTTAGTACACAATTTAAGTTTTGGGTTACTGATTTTTAGAATTATTTATTCTTTCATTTCGCTATAATTTCGTTGATATGTAATAATTAATTAGTGATCTTAGTAACAACCTTCCATAAAATTAACTAAAAGGGTTTGTAGCAAATATATTCTCGATCTTTCACGACACTTGCATTACGCGGTTCTTGATTTCAGAACTCTCGGGGGTTATAACACACATCATCGTCTCATCATAACCATCGCTGAAACACATCATCGTCACATCTTTCCCCTTATTTTCAAAACATTATTTTTACCCCTCAAACACTGAAACACACATCATCCTCTCATCAACAACCATCGCCATTATCATTAATCATTTATCACCAGTACCATGGTTATAACCAGTGTCGCCGGAGATACTCTCATGAACAAGAAAAGAACTAAAGGCAAGCAAAAGATTGATATAAAGAAGATAGAAGACCCCAACAGCCTTCAAGTCGCCTTCTCTAAACGCCGCACCGGACTTTTCAAGAAAGCCTCTGAGATCTGTGTCTTGACCGGAGCCCAAATCGCCATCCTAGTTACTTCCCCCGCTGGTCGGTTCTATGGCTTTCGCCACCCCAACACCGACGTCCTGTTTGACGACTTTCTGAATGACAACAACAAATACGCTGCCACCAATACCACCACCGGAGGAGAGACGGGAACCACCCAGAAGAACTATATATCGCCGGCGCCACCGCCTATAATGGAGGAGTTCAATCAACATTACTCTGAGGCTTCGAGGGAGTTGGAGGCTGAGAAGAAGCGGGGAGGAAAGATTCCGGTGAGCAGCGGCGGATCACGTTGGTACGACGAGCCTGTTGATGGGCTGGATGTGGAGGAGGTTCAACAGTATCTTTGTTCGTTGGATGAGTTGAAGAAGAAGGTTCTGACGAGAGCTGTTGAACTGATGATGATCAACAAGTCTTCTGCTTTATTCTTTGGTTCGAACAACGGCATTCAACCGCCGGTGGATATTCCTTCAAACGCAGTAGTCGACGACGGTGGTTTTAACTTCGAGTACGACGGGAATTTTGGGAATTTTTAGTTACATGACATCATTAGTTGGTTTAATTGGTTAAGATAGATTAAGTTTTTAATTAATGCCGTAAATATTCAGCGTTATATTAACTGTCAGATAACTAGATTTTTTGCATTCTCTTATTGGGTTTGTTTTTGTCTTTTCAATTTTGTTGAAATATGTAAGAAAATTTACTTGGGATTTAATTGTGTTTTTACAAAGAGATCAGATTAAAATGGTCTTTTTGAGGGAATTTTTATATGTTAAAGTACTTGAGAACCGAAAACAACTAACTAGGGGTGAGCATGGTGCGGTTTTGTGCAGTTTTAAGGCCAAACCAAACCGCAAACCACATGGTGCGGTTTTTGCACTCTTAAAACCATTGGGTGCGGTTTTGCAATGGTTCGGTTTTACGGTTTTTAAATGCGGTTTCGGTTTGTATCGTGCGGTTTCGGTTTTAAACCGTGTTTAGACTTTGGTGTAGTTATTTATGTTTATTGGTACGGTTTTTTAAAACCGTAAGAACTGAAAACCATGTGCATGTAAGCTTGTATTATGCTGCTTTTTTTCATTTTTGAAACCATTTATTTCCAACCCAAAACAAAATTACATAATCAAAATTTGTAAGTGACTTAAAATACAAACATGTGACTACTCTCACAAACTAATTAATAATTGAAGGTTGGTGTAACGCCCCGATTCCCAGATATTAATATTATGGCTTTAATTTTCAAGTTTCAAGGTCTACTCGACGAGTTGGATGCCCTGACTCGTCGAGTAGTAGCGGGTTTGGGACACGTGTTTAAGTGACCAACTCGCCGAGTCGGAAGAGTGACTCGACGAGTTGGAGCTGGAGGGTGAAACCCTAATTTCCGGGGTTTTGCACCCTATTTAAAGAATCATAAGCCTCCTCCAGCCTCTTTACAGTCCCTTGAGAGCTCAGCAAAACCCTAATACGTATGTGTGTGCTCCATTGCGTGTTTTAAGCTTTGGAAGAGGATTCTTGGGGAGAAGAGCTTGGGGAAAACAAGTGGATTGAAGAAAGGAACTCGTGGGAATCAAGATCTACTTCAGTTGGCATCTTTTGGGAAGGTATTAAGCTGTTATCTTAACCTCATTTCATTCTAGATCTCTTTTGGGTGGATTTTAGGGCTTTTCTAGTATAATAAGAAGCCAGTCATGGGTGTAAGCTAAGATCTGAAGTTGTAACTTCAGATCTGGACTTTCCTTGGACTCTAAGTCCACAAAGTTTCAGCTTTGGCAAGCATGAACCTTCCCTCTAGTGTGAGACTTCTTTGCAAGCTTGGTTTTTGTCATTTTAAGGCTTTAGAGCTTTGCATGCACGTAAAGTTTGCAACTTTGCGTGATAAACTTGCCTTGGGAAGCTGGATCTACAATTTGGAGCCTTAGCATGGCTTAAAAAGCCTCTATATGGATGAAGGACTGAAGGAACTCGGCGAGTTGCATGGTCAACTCGGCGAGTCCGATGAAGATAGTCGTGGGCTCGGCGAGTCAGTTAAGTGACTCGGCGAGTCGGCTAGGGTTTTCCCAACCCTTGGACACATTTGAACTTGGCAAGTTGTAAGGGAAGCTTGACGAAGGAGTTTACGGCCGCAAACCGTAGGAACTCAACGTGTCACTCTAGTGACTCGGCGAGTTGACAAGTTATGCAAGGAACTCGGCGAGTAGCTAAGGGTACTCGACGATTTGAGGTCAGCAAGGATTGTTGACCTTAACCTTTGACTTTGACTTTGACCAGTTGACTTCTGGGGGCATTTGGGAAATTGGAAATTTATGATCATGGTTTTATGGTAAATATAGGTGGTGGAGTTGTGACAGTGATCCGAGCGTGGAGCTTCTCATTTCAGCGCGTTAGTAGCGAGGTGAGTTATCCTCACTATACTCAAGGGTCTAAGGCACCAAGCTCGGCCCTTTGGATTTTTATCTGGTTATGTTATGCTGGTATGAACTGTTAGATCGGTATCCTAGAGGGTAGGATAATATTATGAGGTATGTGGTATGATCTGTTAGATCGATATCTTGGTAGATAGGATGGTATTATGTGCTATGTGGTATGATCTGTTAAATCAGTTGTTGTCTATAGACTGTTATGTGATTATCTGTTATATGTGCACATGTTTGTTTGGCGGTTTGAGACTTATCTGCTTTGTGTGAAAGCCAATAGACCTGGGCATTCCAACCTGTTGGTTGTGGGCCGTGAGTATTCCATCTCGAGGATGACTGGACTCATAGTATGTTGGCATTCCAACATGTTGGTTGTGGGCCTGAGGTATTCCATCCCGAGGATGATTGGACCCATAGTATGTTGGCATTCCAACCAGAAGGTTGAGGGCCTGGGGTATTCCATTCCGATGGTTGACTGGACCCATAGTATGTTGTTTATGATTATATGTGTATTGTTGTGGGTATGGGTATTTTGGGGGAACTCACTAAGCTTTCGGGCTTACAGTTTCAGTTTATTGTTTTAGGTACATCAGGGGATTGTGGCAAGGCGAAGGCATGATCGTACAGCTCCTCATGTTTTGTTTATGTTTCTGGGAAAACTCTGATATTATACATTTTGAAAACAAAGATGTAATGATTTTAATGGGTTGAAATGTTTTTTAAAAGTGCAAATTTGGCATGAAATTTTTGGGTGTTATAGTTGGTTGACTTTGAATTAATTTGTTACAAGTTTATTATACATAGTCGATTAGTACGTTTCGCTACCAATAAAAAAATTTGTTTTGCACCCCATTTAGTCTTACACTAACACAAAGTAAATATATAATAAATATATTGCCGTTTATAAGTATTTTAAATAGCATGTATATAATATACATTAACTGATTTACTACTATACACGCTTGCGGTGCGGTTCGGTTTTTTGGATAAAAACCACACCGCACCGTTGACCTTCGGTTTTTGCAAAAATTAAATCTGCACCATTAGTTTTTGCATCGGTTGCGGTTTATTGCGTTTTTATCGGTTTTTCTTTAGTCGGTTCGATTTTTGCTCACCCCTACAACTAACCGAGTTTTGGCAATTCTACCACTATGCCTTTTGTCTCGTGATTTTTGTAGTAATATTTATGTATTTAAAAGGCTTTGCAGAAATAATGTTGGTTCATATTTATTTATTAAATAGAAAAATATAGATCTATCTAAAAAAGTCGCAAACTTTTATTTTTTTTTGAAACGGCGAAATTTTATTAAGCCATAGCCAAAAAAGAGCAGGGCAACAAAAAAAAAACAAACAAAAACTAAACAATGTTAAAAGGAGAATAACACCACTCTACTCAATTACAATTCCGAAATCGCCCTCTATGTTTAATCCAACTAAAAGTAAGAGAAATAACATTATCAGTTAGACCCGCCTTTGAAGTGCACACCTTGCTGAATAGCCTATCGTTACGCGCTTTCCAAATACACGACATGTAACCATAGAAAATAGTAATAAGAATCTTACGCTTCAGCGAACATTTTCCCCACTTAGCAGCAAAAGCGACAAGTTCCCTACAGGAGTCAAAATCACGCAGAGGAATGTTGCACCAATGATTTGATGAAGAATATCACGAGTCCAAGAGCAACCCATAAACAAGTGGTTCGCATCTTCAACCTCCTCATCACACCAGAGGCAGCAGACAACACTACAAATATGAACATCGCGTTTAGCGAGAGCACAAGTTGTAGGGTTTCTACCAATGCAAGCCCGCCATATGAAGCAATTTACTTTTAAGGGTACCAACGAAATCCAAATCATTACATTAAACATTTCAGTCGTAAGGAAGGAGTCGATTAAGGATTTCAATTCATGAACATAGAACGTGCCATCATCAGACAGGGGCGATATCCAAACATCATT